ATCTATCTATCTATCTATCTATCTATCTATCTATCTATCTATCTATCATTTATCTATCACTCTATCATCCATCTATCTATTGTATCTATCTATCTATCTATCTATCTATCTATCTATCTATCTATCTATCTATCTATCTATCTATCTATCTATCTACCGTGTTTCTCCAACAATACGACCTCCCCCAATAGGAAGACCCAGCATGTTTTCTAGGCATAAAATGAAATTAAGCCCCTCCCCCCAAATTTAGGCCTATTTTAAAACATGCAAAATGGGGGGAAGGGCGGGGGGACTTGCCGTTAGAAGCGCCCCGCGGGCAGCAATTCCTCGCCACCAGCTGCTCCTAATGGGCTATCATGGCAGAGCACGGAGAGCTCCCTACTCCTGCCAAGCACCTTTGCAGCAGACCCAAGACCTTCAGCACCTGCCGCTGTTGATTTCCCTTCTGCCCATGCCGCCGCTACGTTTGGAGCTGCCACTTCCACGTTTGGAGCACCACTGCTGTTTGGAGCACCGCTCCTGTTTGGAGCTGCCGCTTCCGCATTTGGAGCTGTCACTGTGTTTGGAGCTGCCACCGCCACGTTTGGAGCTGCCACTTCCACGTTTGGAGCACCACTGCTGTTTGGAGCACTGCTGCTGTTTGGAGCTGTCGCTTCCACATTTGGAGCTGCTGCCGCATTTGGAGCTGCCGCTTCCGCGTTTGGAACCCCACCACTGTTTGGAGCACTGCCGCTGTTTGGAGTTGCCATGTCCGCATTTGGAGCTGCTGCTTCCGCGTTTGGAGCACTGCTGCTGTTTGGAGCACCACCAAACGCGGAAGTGGCAGCTCCAAACATGACAGCTGTGCTCCAAATGGCGGCGGCACTCCAAATGGCAGCAGCACTCCAAACACGGAAGCGGCAGCTCCAAACATGGTGGCAGAATGGGCAGAAGGGAAAGCAACAGCGGCGGGTGCCAAAGGTCTTGGGTCTGCAGCAAAGGTGTTTGGTGGGAGTAGGGAGCTCTCTGCGCTTCGCCATGATCACCCGTTAGGAGCGGCTGGTGGCGAGGCTGCCCACGGGGCACTCTAGATGAGGATGCAAGGGGGGGAATTAAGTCACCCCCGAAAAGCTGGCCTAGCCGTTTTTTCGGGGCTCAAAAAAATATAAGACCCGGCCTTATTTTATGAGAAACACGGTATCTATCTATCTATCTATCTATCTATCTATCTATCTATCTATCTAT